GATGGGATAAATGGAAATTGCCTAGATAGGATCCGTTGCTTGCTGACGTCTAAGCCAAAATCTATGTTGGGAAACAGGACAATTTCTGGTTTTCCTATATCTTTATCACCAGCAGTAGCTGTTAGGTTGGTCAGGAATTTGGCAATATTCTGGTCCTGTTTTGCACTGGTCACTATGCATTGAGGATTAACTTCCCCAATCACTTTATGCAGTAGCTTGAGGTCTTCATTATCAGGTATGTCAGGCATGAAGTAGACTGAGCAATCTTCTGTATCATAATAAGTAATTGCAAGCTGCCCTGCATACCACAAAACAGACATGTGTGTCTCAGAGCACTCGTGGTCCTCTGGGTCGGGCCCAAGTGGTGGTGGCAAGGCACAACTCGTGGCTGATGTGGCACTCATTCTGTTGGAGAAAGATATTTTTATTCACAACTCATCCAAAAAGTCCTGAGAAGTAACTGTAATTGACAACACTAGGTTAACACTCATTCTTCCAACTCTGGAGAAACTAAGATGCTACCAGCAATTAAAGACATCTGTTACCTGTTCAAGTGAAAACATGCAGCCAATAACTACAGCCACCATCTTGCTTCCAAGCAAGGTGTGACTGAGCTAACTACCAGCAATCTTGGAATAGTTTTACAGTTTTTCTTTGTATCCTTTATTTTAGTAATTTTATATATATGCCCAAATACCCATAACGTACATGCACATGTACATACATGTACCAAATCATCCTCCCTCAGAGGTACTGGACACCCACAAGCACCGACCACAGCTCCTCCCAACAATGCAGCCACATAAACTGGTCATCGTTTCAGGGTCCTACCCCGGTATTTCTGCAGCACCATCACATAGTACCGGTTTCTATACAAGTACATAACATACTGCTGCATGGATCAACCATACCAAACAGTTTACCCTACAGAGTCCACAGTCGCTGTCAGCAACCCTCTTCGAACCATCTCCAACATCTTCTACCCTCCACTCGCTCTCCTCGCCACAGACGGGCTGCTCGTCTCGGCTGCTGCGTCTCCTTGCAGCTCGAAAGTTTTAGCTTGACCCCCTTACCCCCCCCCGCCGAGCCGGTGGTTCGCGCTCTCTGCGCTCAGGCCTCCTCGCCGCCGGGTCCTGTCAGGAAGGCGCCGCAGTGTGGCGCTGAGCCCCGCCTCCGCAGCCA